GCAGTGTGAGGCCCTCAGAGACCAGTACAGAGCCTTCAAAGGGCAGTTTGGAACCATCAGAGGCCGACGTGGGCCCTCACATGCCGGTGTGGTATCTTAAAGGCCAGCGTGGAGCCCTCAGAGTTCAGTGTGGGGCCCTAAAAGACCAGCATGGGTCGGTGTTGGACCCCAGAGGTCAGCATAGGGCCCTCAGAGGCCGATGTGGACCCTTAGAGACCGGCATCGGGCCTTCAGAAGTCAGTACGGGCCCTCGGGGACACCCAAAGGCCAGTCTTGGGCCCCCAGAAAAAGAAATGAGGCCATTAGAGGCGTGGACCCCCAGAAACCAGTTTGGGAGCCCTCGAGACCAGTACAGGGCCCTCGAAGGCCAGTTTGAGGCCCTCAGAGGTCGATGCGGGCTCTTAGTGACCGGCACCCAAAGGCCAGTCCTGAACCCCAGAGACAGAAATGAGGCCATCAAGAGATCAGTGTGGGGCCCTCAAAGGCCGGTTGGGGGACTCCTGATGCCGCTTTAGGGCCCTCAAGGGCCAGTGGAGGGCCCTGAGAGGTCGATGTGGGGCGTGGGCCCTCATCGGTCGATGTGGGCCCTCATCGGTCAAGGTGGGCCCTTGAAGGCCACTGAAGCGCCCTCAGAAGTCAAGGATACTCAAAGACCGGTATGGAGGCTGTTACATAATACCTGGCGTTGGTTTCTTGAGCCTCGTGACAATCGGGTAAGAGCCAGGGCCCCTACGCCCATCGGGGCCCATCGGTGGTTTAAGGGGGCAAATTATATGATGGCCCCTGATTCGTCTTTGGGGGGCCATGGCCCTGATGCCCCCCTGCGACCTCCACTGGGCACCACCCCCACCCCACCCCCCCACTGAGCGGTGAGCGGCGCACCAGGAATCGAAATCCTCGATTTTTTTTTAACTGGTCATTTTTGCATGTCCGACAGCTCTATACGGCCTTGTGACAGCTCAAGCTCTTGAGAGGAGGGTAGTACCTACATTAGAAGGGCGGCACTAACATTTGAGGGGGCGGCACCTACATTCGAGGAGGGCCGGCATCTACATTCGAGGGGGCGGCACTAACATTTGAGGGGGCGGCACCTACATTCGAGGAGGGCCGGCATCTACATTCGAGGATGGCCGGCATCTACATTCGAGGAGGCGGCACTAACATTTGAGGGGGCGGCACCTACATTCGAGGAGGGCCGGCATCTACATTCGAGGGGGCGGCACCTGCATTCGAGGAGGGCCGGCACCTACATTCGAGGGGGCGGCACTAACATTTTAGGGGCGGCACTTACATTCGAGGGGGCGGCACCTACATTCGAGGGGCGGCATTTAGGTACATTTGAGGGGGCGGCACCAACATTCGAAGAGGGCCGGCATCTACATTCGAGGGGGCGGCACTAACATTTGAGGGGGGCGGCACCTGCATTCGAGGGGGCGGCACCTACATTCGAGGGGCGGCATTTAGGTACATTCGAGGGGGTGGCACCAACATTCGAGGGGGTGGCACCTACATGCGAGGGGATGGCGCCTACATTTAATGGGCGGCGCCTACATTCGAGAGGGCGGCACTTACATTTGAAGGGGCGGCACCTACATTCGAGGGGGCGGCACCTACATTCGAGGGGCGGCACTTACATTCGAGGGGGCGGCACCTATTTGAGGTCTGAGGAGGCGGCAACTACACTAGATAGTTGAGGGGTGACTATTGCCTACATGATGGGTAGGGCTCTTTTGAAAGATGGTGCCAAGTCAACGGGTGGCATAGAGTTTTGTGATGACTCAGGGCTATGGGGGCGGCACCATTCGAGTCGCCCACCGATTTATTTCAGTTGTAAAGTTGGGGTTGCACAAACCGATGTTGGGGTTGCACAATTCAAAGTTGGGGTTGCACGTGCAACCCCAACTTAATATAAAAATCCACCCCTGTGTCCCATCCCCCCCGTCCCGTCGCTGTCCCACCGCCACACCGCCTGTCCCCGGTCGGTCGGTCGGGACGTTTATCGGCCTGCCTCCGGGGACTGACCGGCGCCCAATAAGGCTCGACTCCCCGGCGGCGCCGGCGGCCGGCCAAATACCTCGACGGCCCCGGCGCCGGTCAATGCTGACCCGTCTGGGAGTCGCGCTCGACCAGACAGATGGCATGCCGCCGCTGCACTGCGCTGTGCCAGGTCTAGCCAGCATGCTCCACCTCTGGTGTGACAGGCTGGATAGGTGTCGTGTAGTCTTTCTAGTGTAGAGCTTTCCAACTCTGGTGCGCTAAGTGTGTGAGAGAGAAAATGTAGTCCTAGTCTGTATGGTGCCTTGCCGACGGTTCAGTGTTGTCTCCTCCGTTAGAACTGCGGTGTGATAAAGGCCGAGGGGTGTGCTGCTCCAAACGCCGTTGTCTCGTCGCTCCCCGGTGTCACCACCGTCGTTTCTTCTTCATTTCTCTACCACAGCGCCGCTTGTCAGCACCGCGCCGTCAGTGTCCCGGTCTCGTCGTGTCCGTCACCGCGGCGCCTGATTGGGTCGGCGGCGACGAACGGCACGGCGCGTCAATACCAGCGCCGTGACAGTGTTTAAAATGAAACAATATCGGCCGCAAATTTATTTAATAAAGTCACGCCGCGCCCGGCCCAGACGAACGCCCGTATGGCGTACTTTGGCACCGGTGTGCGGGCGCACGCTGGCCTCTCCCCGCCTCTCTCGCGCGTCCGGTGGGCGCCTGTCGAGGGCGTGGGCGCCGCTGATGGGCGTCGGTGACACCTGATCTCGCCGGGCGCGCGGCGAGCTGCAATTCGGGCCGATCGCAGCGCCGATGATGGTCGTTGTCGCGTCGTCTTCATTAGTGAGCGGGGCGTCGACCGTCGACGGCTTCGTCAGAGGGTTTGGAGGTGATGAAGGCACGACGCGGTGTAGGGTGGGGAGAGGTAAGTTTATCGAGGGAAGTTTAGATAGTGAGGATGAAGGAACAAAGCACGAGATGCTGCAAATTATTTTGTTGGGTGTATTTGTTGAACTGCTTTATGAACCTTTCCTGGTGTAATTTGACCAGGGAAAATTGCGCAATAGGTATGATGGATTATTCGAACCAAAGTTATGGCAGGCATGAATCGAATTCAAATTGCTGTGAATTGGCCTTATACGTGATGTTTATCCTATATTATCAAAATGAAATTTTATTTGATAATTTAACACACTCACGAATTTATATTCCACATTCGCCCAATTATTGCGTCACATCCCTGCAGCTATGACCTCTGTTCCACGCGCTCTGAGTTTGCCTGTTCCGGTAATTCCAATTCCTCAGTCGAATTCGATGATTGAGGTCGACTGAGCCAACGCCTCAGCTAATTAAGTTATCCAGCGCTGTCGAGTTAAATCTCTTCATATTCAGCTAACCGAGACTGTCCGCTCGGCCTACGCTTACCCAGAAGTTGGAATGGTTTGACCTCTCCACCGTGGCTGGGCTATTACGGGAACTTCTTTAATTAGTCTTTGTAATTCTTTCTTCTTTCTTCATGGCGGAATAACCGCGGAAGACCAATTAAGATGTGTTTAGGTACGACTTCCTACCAGTACTGAAAATGGAATGAACCCGACATCGCCTCAATACAGGAATGGGATTAGGTACTGCAGGCAGTAGGCTCTCGTTTAAAGAAACATGTTCGGCTGTGGGACTGGTATGATAAACTGAAGAAGAGGAACACGGAGCTTGTCTAATGTATGAAATAGATTAAATTTATTCCGGGCACAGGTCATGAAAATTGCACCCTCTTACCCATTGGTTTGAAACTTTGAACATTGGCAAATCCAGAGAGCGGGCGAAGAGTTGCTTAGAACGAAGAGTTGGGACGCTGCGGAGGGCGTACTCCTCCCAAAAAGATTCTCAGAGTTCTCAATTAAACTAAGTCAACTTCGATTTTATGTCCTTATTTCTGTTGTGCACTTGCACAATCAAGCGAACAAGTGCTTGTGCTGTGCACAAGCAAATGTTAAGGTTGTTTAAGGTTTCCTTCTTTGCAAGGAAAATTTTACATTTCGATAACTTCGAAAGGGTCCCTCTCACAACGCTCGAAATTATCGCGAGGTTATCGCCCAACCCTGTCTGGATCGGCCCGTCGGCTTGGATTGAAACCAATGCGGTTGTAGCCTGTAGGATACTGCGAATGAATGAACGGTTGCCAGCTTTCCGATTTTATACATACCTAGTCGAGTGATGCAGGGCGTGATGCTGTGGTAGAATATTGCTCAGTTTTTTTTTTTTGTATTTTTATCAGCTCCTCCGTTTCGTCGTAAGCATAAAAGCCCAGGTTTCAAACAGCAACTATATTCTGCATATTTAATCCTTGGTGTTCTCTCACACTGCCCATTCCGGAATCCACCGCTCTCGACCTGGCCCGTCGATGTCGTAGTTTCTGTTCCCGACATCACCGTCATCAGAAAACTGCGGACGATGGGACACCGAGGCGCTGCTCTCGCCTTCTATCGACGCTCCTCAAGAGCGGCAAATTTATTCCGGCGCCGTGCTGACGGCAGGAGAAAAAGGACGCGACATGAACGGAATTGCCATCGACGGCGCGTCATTTGAATAATGGCTCCCGGACAAGGAGTGGGGACAGAGTTTCCGGGCGCGTATTGGCGGATTCCGGATCGTCCGGAGAGCATAAAGAGGATGAGGGATAGCCATAATGAGAGCAGAGCTCGAGAAAAGTATCTATGGTTTTTTCTAGTGCGCTATTGGATGGGTTTTATCGTACCTGGCATGTGTTTGTCTCCGTCTTCTCTCTCTCTCTCTCTCTCTCTCTCTCTCTCTCTCTCTCTCTCTCTCTCTCTCTCTCTCTCTCTCTCTCTCTCTCTCTCTCTCTCTCTCTCTCTCTCTCTCTCTCTCTCTTCCTCTCCTTTTCCCTGTCTCTTCCTCTCTCCTTCCTCCATATTCCTCTCCTTCCCCTATCTCCCTCTCCCTCCACTTTCCTCCCTCTCTCCTTCCCAGCTCTTCATGTCCCGCTCTGTATCACACAGGTGCTGACGACGCACGGCCAGATGCGGCAGAGGTTCACCGAGCGACTGGGCAAGGTGTCTCGCGCGCTGCGGGCCCAGCAGTCGCCGGCCACCAGCCAGGAGTGACAACGCCTCCAGTCACATGTGCGCCCTCAGTGGTGACACTCGGGGTGCGCTCTCAGTGGTGACACTGGTATGTGCGTGTCACAGGAGATAGTCCAGCTGTCACACACAAACCTTGAGGGGTGTTTCTTGGACAGGGAAAGGAGTGAGGCTCGTCCATGAGCCACTAGTGACACCCGGGTGTTAACATTGACAACTTTTTGGCCATGGTGACTGCGACCCAAGTGAACTGGACCGTGAACAGTGAGACCAATGTGTTGTGTAGGAGTGTGATGGATAGATACCTACCACCTACCGGTCCTTTTTGGTTAATCCGATCCATGCGCTCTCCAGAATTTGGCTGTGACGGTGGGGGATAAGGGAATCTGCGGGCACTGTCTAGTTTAAATAGCACAGCGCCAGACAGTCGTGTTGATCCGTATCTTCACATCAGCAGCCAGGGCTACTGCACAGTGCGCATTACGTCAAAACTGTGATCAGCAATGAGGTGAAAGACCCTTTGGTGTTAGTGTACCAAAACTTGCGCTGACTAGATGTAAGTGTAACGACTCATGGCAACGCTTCACTCACAAACAAACAGAGGCACACAGACGATATGGACTCGTCTTTCAGTGCCTGTTTCTCTCAGACAATGGTGGACTTGTGTTGCAGTGTTGTGTTGTCAAGTGCGAAGGTTAGCATTTTTCGTTTGTCAATATATGCAGCTGACCGGCAACAGTTTGCCAATTATGTCTGTTTCATTTTGGCAGAGCTGCATCCGGCATTCTATGTACTCAACGCTCATGGTCGTTAATTTACAACTGCCGTTGTTAAATGCACTGCATTGGTGCGGTTTGAAAGTTTGGCTCAACAAACTTTCTTCAGTTGCTGACAACCTCTAGCCACTGGCCGCGTGCGGTCGCTTCTTCCCATACAATCGTTCCTGGTAATATCATAACCAGTACGATTCAAAACTCCTGCGCAAACATACCATCGCGCGTATTCCATCTCCTGTCTGTCTTTTTGTCTCGCTCTCTGTGAACCTCTTTGTGTCAATCAGCGCAGCTCAGACCTCCGGCTCACCCCGTAAAGGTCAGTCTCGTTGGGAGTACCGGCCGGGGAGGATTCGAGCCCGTCTGGAGGCTGGTAGTCACCGGAGACGGCACAAATTTGCCGCGGACGTGCACACGTGCTGCCAGAGCCGCTCATTACTGAGTAAAATCAAGACGGATGATGACATGCGGCGTCACGAATCAGCCACAAATGGGCACTATGTATCATGTGAGCCAACTGGCGACGGCTACCGGTGTGTGAGCCCGAGCGGGGGTGCCGAGAACGGATGGCGTGGGTGCAAACTGCAAAGGAGAAAGACTACGGGAATGGAATCGTTGCTTTTGCGAATGGGGGTTGGCGTGTAGATATGAGTGGGTATGTTGGCATAATGCATATGTACTGTAGATAGCATAAAGCATATGGCACTTTTCTGTCCATGATCTGCCGGTCACATGTGTCGTTCGATAGTAAAATGTTCTCACTACCCACAATTCATTAATCTGTGCGAAACATTTTAAAGCAAAGGTGCCACCTTCCCACAAGTATGTGCTACAAGTAGGTGCGTTAGGGTGGGTGTTTGGGGTGGCCGGCCGTTCAGTGGGGTTGGGATTTAAGGTCTAGACCTCTCTGCGTTGGGCGTTCCGTCCATCCGCCGAGGACTGGATGGCTGCGAACGGCCGTTACAAGGCGGGGTGCCAGCTCCGATCGAGCGGTGCTGAGAACGCAGCTCTCTTCCACTCCTCCTCTCCCTTCCCTTCCTGTCCCTGCCCTCCGAAACGGCCGGGCACGCCGGCGAAAACGACCCTCTGCGGAAACTGCTAGAAAACTGCGAGCGCGTCGTCCAGCGTCGCGCTCGACAGTGCGACGGAAGCTCGACGTCGTCCCTGTTTGCGGACGGACATTGTGAATTTGTTGAGTCGTGCCGACCACCCGGCAGTAACGCCGTAAACAGATGCGCTGGCGGAAGCGCGGGGCCGTCCGCTGCCAAGTTACGCTTTATGCGACTCGGTGTGACACAAAATACGACGCGGGGATGACCGTCATCACAGCCGTGTTGTGCTGCGATGAATGGGCGTCCCGGCGGCGCGTGATAGCGGAGGGCGGCCCCCGCTGTCGCCTGCAGAGAATTCATGCCGGAAAATATGTGGCATGCAATCAGCGAGTTCAAATCGACCCCCATGTATCCCGGCACGGCTGACACCCGGGCGAACTGCACTGATGTGGGAATGGTACGAATGTAATCACATTTGCTGGGCAGGGCACCTACTTTATCCAATCAGCGCACAAACGTCAAAACAATGAGATCTAATGGAGATTTATGGATTAGTAGAATGATATATGGTGTTCATACAGCGAGAATGGTGCACTTGCGTGAGACTGATGATGTCTGAAAATCATCATTTGAAAATACTGAGAAGGGAAATGTTTCGCCTTGCTTTTCCAATGTCTTCTTTTCTTCTGAGGTTTCCAAAAGAGCAGAAAGGGGGAGCACGATGCGCTAATAATAAATGAGCGTAATACAGACGATAATCCAAGGCAGAGAACCACTGGGACAGAGCTGTCGTCAACGTTGTGACGGACTATTCAACTTTTCTTTATGATCAATATTGTAAGGCATTGCAGGTTACTTTGCCACCTAACTATGACAAAGACGCTCAATTATCATTCCAAACAGCTCGAACATTATAGCCGTGCGATTTGTTAAACAAATCACACCCATCCCTTCACTGCACGTCATTGACCAGTCCTCAGCGATCCTGCAGTTGCATCAATACCCTCCCTGCATATACGGGCGCGTTTTGATCCGTATTTGGCGTCTGCCATCCGTCCGTCTATCCGTGTGGCCTGGCGCCGACACGGGCGGGCGGCGCTAACGCTGATGGTGCTACCCTTGATGGCCAGCCCGCTGATGATGATGGAAGGGGTGATGATGCGTGCCGACGGCGGCGGTCGCTCTGCCGGACCTCCTGTGGTGTGGCGGTGTGGCTATCAGGGGCACCCCGTGGCGGAAGCGGCAGATGCGGCTGACATCACAACGACCATCACATCGGGATGGCAACCAGACCAGGGGCTATCTTACCTAAGAAGAAGGCTGATAACTTACGTAGACTGAACTAAGGGCTATGGTGCGCTTTCTAGATTGAAAAAAGTCGAACGGGAGAACTTACCAACTAGCGACGTTGTTACATTGCTACACTTTGTTACCTTCAGTCGTTTGGGCCTCCGGTGATTCTAGAGCGGAGAAAAACAACTATATAATTTATGCTTATGATCGAAAAGCTAGCTAGGAATTGGTAGGAGTTGGTAATGACAGCTTCTATCTAGCATGATCTCACTTGGCCAGTGACATCACTGGTGACCCCTCAGCGGTCGGTGCAATACTAGCGTGACCCGTGCATGGGCACCATTTGTCCTATTGTGAACCGGGCCAGACCACACAGGGCGTGTGCCACCAGCTCGGGGCCGCTGGCCGGCCGGTCAGCCACGAAGGCTCTAAATGACCCACATCCACTAACAGCCGCGCTTTGCATTGATCAACATGCAAAGCCGTGCAGAGTTTGCATGCTGAAAGATCAACGTGCGGCTAAGTAAGCCTTACAGGGCGATACACCTTGGGGCGCGTCTCATGAATTTGTGACACGCCCCGTGTATCAAAAGGGTGTCGTGCGCTACCTTGCCGCTTTATCGCAGCTCTGTCAAATTTACACCGATGTATTTTCTTCTGTTGGTTCACGTTAATGCCACACAAAACCACAAAGACTTGTTTGGTTAAAGGGCATCCCTAAGAATAGAAACGATACGTCGACTCAGTGCAGAAATGATTCTGCAACAGGTGATTATTGCCTCATTGCGCCGTTGCCCTTTTCACTCAGTAAATACTGGTCTTAATTTGCGTGCATTCATAAACAGACATTCCGCTTTACGCTCTTCTTCCCATATTGCACAGAATACACCGTTGCGCTACCGCAGTATTTACTATACGCTTCAACTTCGCGTCCAAAATCCAGCACGTCTTCAAACTGCTGTGCGGAAGTCGATGTCCTTGCCGTGCGTGGTATCGGCGGCACTATGGGTCATTTTTCGGGAGTTAATTTGGGATTGAGATGACGGTGTCAGGTCTGCACCGGGCCTTATTATACGGTTCGTAGCGGACGGCCCGTATATCACTCACCGCTGGACCGAGGTTGGGGGTTGGGGCCTGGGAGTGGGGTGTTGGGAGGAGTTACAGTTACCAAGTGAAGGTGGTAGAGCCAGGTCCTTCAACCTACGATCAGGTATTCGTTACCAGAGTCTGTTAAAGTGAAGATTTCGATGGTAAAAAATATTGCCTTGTGATATACTCAAGACGAACTTTTTTCGTAGGCATGTCAATCAAGACATGAGTAGGTGAACAATTCGTCGTCAATCAGAATGAGGACAGAGTTCTAATTGGCACAGTTACCTTGATGTTTCCATGTTGCCATTTCACACGCTCCAGCAGAGTTTCAGCGTTATGCTGATAATTCCATCGGCCGTCCGCCGCATAGGGACGAGATTAATTTCCTCGTTTCGCTGTTAATCATATTAATTAACCCTCATATCATTCATAGCAACAGAAATTTAGCAGATAATTAGGCTGGCAACATGTGGGGTGGTTAGTATGAATTAGTGCGCCCAGATATTCATTATGGACTGAGGCTTCGGGGTAGAAGATATGCGAATAGCGATGACAATGTGAGGAAATTAAAGCCTCTTGTAGACTGGTCTGGATTCCTTCACAATCGTTGTTAGAAATTTGATAGGGTTGATTTTGAAACCAGGTCATGTTTCATTTTATTGCATTTATGCCTACTTTAGATCAGGTTAGGAAAGACTATTTTGTTGTTTTGATTTGTCAGTCAAATTCGCATTAATCTCCACATTTCTCACAGTCACGAAGTCTGTCTGAAGTTTGATTTATCGCAGACAACACCTTATCGTCCATCCCTTCCACGAGTCCACAATCCACATCTCTCGCGTCACTCGACTACCCCTCCTGCAGCTCCGAGAAGTCCCATGTCAAACACGAGCCACCACAGCGGTCCGCGCGGCTCTGATGGACGTGGGAGTGCTCCGTGGTGACCTGTCGGGCTGCACCTCTGCCCGGCAACAGACAGGTCCACCCGCGGCGCCACGTCTCGACCGTGGCCCGGCTGATGACGCTCGCACGTCAGCTGGGGCGGGCAGGGGACACCTGTGCAACATTGTGATGCAGTGCAGCGGTCGGTCGGTCGGAGGCGGCGGCGGGGGCGTCTGTGGTGGGGGTGGGGATGGCCGTAGCAGGCGGCCAGCTGGCGGGCCGGGGGTGCCTATACGGCTGCCCCGACCCGGCTCCGCGCCGCTCCTGTCCACTCCTTATACAGAGCACGGCTGCAACAGGTGCGCTGGCCGGCCGGACCGGATGTCTGGCCACTGACCGGGCAGGTTATGTTATATGGCAGGGATTGGCCCGGTGCGTCAGGGCCAGCATACATGGCAGGGATTGGCCCGGTGCGGTGGGTGGCAGGCTACATGGTAGGGATTGGTGCGGCGCATTGGGTAGCAGTGGTGGGAAAAGGGGAGCGAGCAGCAGAGACCAGAATAATGTTAGGTAAATTGAGAAGGCTGGGAAAGCTCTGGGATGAAAATATTTCTCAAAGGTCAAACTGAACGGCAGAGTTCAACTCCCATTTCTGT